AACCCCATTCTTCAGCTACACAGTCCACCCAACAAGCACCCAATGCCACCAAAAAGACTCCCAACAACTCTTGGACCGAAGTAATCAAACGTTCCAAAAAGGTTCGCAACCCTGCCGATGTAACTGACAAACATCGCCAAGCTATTACTCGTGGTTTTAACTTGGCTCCTGAAGGGCCAAAAGGCTACACAACGGTGTACTTTAACCGCTCTCGCCGCTTCACTCGCACTGAAGTCCGCAACAACTTGCATCTGATCAAAGCTGATGCTTCTCGTATCATTGATGTAACGTTCCCTGCTAGAAACATCATTGGCGTCCTAGTCCATTTGCAATACAAGGACAACCTCGTCTCCATTCTCACCAAGAACAACATCAATGTTGTGGAAGGCTTTGATCCTACTGATCCCAAACACCTCGCTGACCCCAAGTTTAAAGAGATGTCCCTCTCTAAGCGTGAGGATGCTGCCTTTGACCTGCAAATCAATCGTTGTGCCAAGTCTCTTGTCTACCTTGCCAATCGTCGTTCTCGTCTTTTTGCTTCTGTTGCTAATCACTTTTTGGAAAATGGTTGGACCACCACTGAATACATTGATTCTGTCGCCCCTGTCAATAACATCTTTGGCTCTTCTGGTTTCAAGAAAAGCTCTGGCTCATCTGATGTTGACATGTCTGATTCCGACGAAGAAGAGTATTAATGATTGAGAGTCCTCTCAGTCATTATACATCCTCCTCGCTCCCTGACCATCCTCTCTCTGCTTCTAATCCGTCCTCATCAATACCAACTATACTCAATAACACTATACCTACTACTCCTCCTCCTCCTACAGCTTTGGCTCCAGTCATTAATAGCGCTTCTCAACTCACTCCACTCACCATTGGCCTCTGGAACGCTCGCGGTCTCAGAGATACCACCATTGATGATGTTCTCCGTTATTGCCTATCCTTCTCTGTGCTGTTCATTACCGAAACATGGCTGAACCGCCATCCCATCCGACTACCCACCAATTGGCAGCAATTCCACTTACCTGGCGTCACTGTCGCAGGCGGTGGTCGTGGCTCTCGTGGCATTACATGCTTGATCAACCCTTCCTGTCCCCTCACAGCATTTCAGACGCCTTTGCCCTCTGCTCTTCAAGAGTTTGCTTTGGGTATTCAACTTGGTCGTGAACTTCGGCTCATTTGTCTGTATATACCACCTGAGCAAGCGGATCTCTATACTGAAAATGTCTCTTCCATCCTGAATGCGATCCCGTTGGATCATGACACAATCATCTGTGGCGATCTGAATGCCCGCATGGGTAGCTTTGTTGGTGACTCCTCTACAAATAACCGTGGTCGTCTACTTCAAGAGTACTGTGCCGATAATCAATTAAACGTTTTGAACTGTCAATTAGCCCACTCTACACCTACCTTTGAGGACCGTCGTAGTGGGCGGAATGTAAGTAGCATTGTCGATTACTACATCTCAAATGTAGAATCACTTTCCTTTGCCTCTCTGGATACCTCATCTCCACCTTCTTCCTCCTCAATTAGTATTTACTCTGACTTGTCTTTGGGATCTGATCATAAACTGATGTCTCTGACGTTTGATTACCACTCAAACGAACCTGCTCTTGCTATGCCTGCTACGCCATCACCATCACCTCGTCTCCTATGGAAGCTCTCACGTCTACAAGAAACGGATGTACGCAATTTGTATGCACAACGCTTTACAGCCCTCTCTCAACCGTTGCTACAACAGCTGATCTCGCTTGTGCGCTCACCACCTGATACACAACCTCCAATCGATACCCTCAACAGTGATCTCACCAATTGTATATATCAGGCACTGGATGAATCCGTTACTCGGCAATCCCAGCGACCCAACTTTTGGAAGAAATTCTGGACCCTCGATCTTCAACGGCTCTGTGATCATCGTGAAGCTCTCTATCGTAAATATCGTCGTTGTCCCGCTTCATTGGACAAGGCATATTGGTGGAATCAACATGTGGAAGCACATCAAAAGTTTAAACAAGCCCTTCGTAGAGCTAAACAGGTTTCGTGGCACGCATTCTGTGAATCTTTATTCAAGCAAGACTTTTCAAAGGCTATGTCAAAAATCAAGTTGATCAAATCCAGGCGACAAAGACAATCAGGGTATCTACATGTGGACGGTGCTCAAGCTGGTGCTAATGCTATGCGTGATCACCTTGCTACCATTTATGCTGGATCCAATCTCCCAACAAATCGACCTCCATGCCCTTTTGCTACACATGGTAGACATCTGCCATATGGTGTTCCTCCTCCTCAGTCAGCCTCCCATCTTGGTGGTACTCGTCTGGCAAATGGTGACATCAGTACATTGAATCCGCATGCTTCTCCTTTCATCCCATCATACCTCTCACATAGAACTCTACCACATGATGACTCTGACCCAACAGGTCGTGTTGTCTCAGCATCGGTCCACAACGAAGCTTTTGACGAGATTATTAGTATTGACCATATCATTCAGCAGATCAAGTCGTTGCCATACCGTAAAGCACCTGGCCGTGATTCAATTCGTGGTGAAATGCTGAAACCCATTCAGAAACCACTTGCCACTGTTCTGTCATACCTCTTTGCTCTGACCTATCAATGGTCTTACACACCAGCGGATTGGCGTCATGGTAATGTTTGTAGCATCTACAAGAAGGGACCTGTCACGGAGGCATCAAGCTTTCGGCCCATCTCATTGACTAGTACACTGAGAAAACTCTTTGAAATGTGCCTTGCTCCCCTTGTCCTCACCATTTCACCACCATTAGATGTAGCCCAGAATGGTTTCCGATCCGCAAGAAGTGCACTTGATGGTGCTCTTAGTCTCCAAGACTTAATGAAAGACTACCAGAACCAACACTACCACTGGCCAACTGTGTGCTTCCTTGATATCAAGAGTGCCTATGATGTTGTTGATCGCCGTGTGATCTGGAATTCGCTGCTCTCTGCCAATGCTCCAATGCCACTTGTCTCATTGCTCTCCAATTTGTTTGACGATGTTTCTATTTCAGTGCTGAATCAGCAATGCGTGTCCCAAGAACTCTCACTGCATACTGGATTGCTTCAAGGCTCCACCCTTAGTCCCCACTTATTCAGTATCTTTATCAACTCACTGCCAGCTTTGTTGCGTCAAGCTGCATCGTCCTCCACCACTCGTGTCATGTCAACATCACCATCATGTGCTCCCTCTCCTCTTTGGTCCGTCATAACACCCACTCATGCTACTAATATTGCTATTAATGCTTTATTGTATGCTGATGATGTTGCTATTCTAGGTTCTGCTCGTGAAGTAAAACAGATGCTGACACTAGCTGAATCACATTCCCTTGCACTTGGGTATCGCTGGGCTCCTGCCAAATGTGCTATCATCAATCCACCGTCCTCCACCTCATCTACCTTTGTTGACCTGACCTTGTATGGAGAATCTCTTCCTGTTGTCGATGAATTTGTGTATCTCGGTATTCCATTTGACCGCAAGGGCATCTGCACAGCATCTATTGTCAAGAAATGTCAGCGTGGTACCATGGCTTCGATGGCTCAGCTTAACTCCATTGGATGCAATCGTTCTGGCTTCCCTCTGCTCTTCTCCACCAAGTTGTATGCTTCATTCATCAGACCTAAACTGGAATATGGTATTGGCATTGCCAATATGCGTGTTGCTGACTTCAAGGCTCTTGAAAAGGTCCAAGATACATGCCTCCGCATGATATTTGGTGGCCATCGTGCTGCTTCCACCATGGTGGTTCGACACATGACAAATCTGCCTCTGATGCGACAACGTGCTGCTATACTGGTGACTCAATTCTGCTTGCGTTCACAATTCCTCCCAGAAGATGGCCTGCTGATACTGCTCTCTGATTCTCTACCTGGTTCATCTTTGAAAAGATTAAAAAAGCAACACATGGCTGCCCGCGCGCTTGACGAAGTACCTTTTGCAAATCAACGTCACATGAAACAATGGTTCCTTGCTGAACGCCAACATTGGCACGCTGAGTTCCTGACAAAAACAGACATGGTGCTGATCCGTGCTTGCCGACCCACTATTGGCATTGATCCTGTTATGTATGTACCTGCCAGTCGTCCTTGTCGTAGTCGTCTTATTCGTTATAGAATGGGATGGCTTCCGGGTAAGCCACGACCTTGTGCATGCAATGAAGATCATACATCCCGTCGCCATCTACATGAATGCCCCACTTTGCCACCTACTTTGCTTCTGTCTCTTCCTGTTCCGCCTGCTGACTTCACCGGCACCATCATTGACCATGCTTTGAACTTGATTCCATCCTCCTCATCTCCTTCCAATTGTCCACCCTGGTGGTCTGATCTCTGTACCTTGCTGTGGCATTTTGACCAGCTCTGTAATCCCGATGGCGATTACACAACGGATCCAGTTCCAGGACAAGTGTGGGCTTCCCCGGCCTAACATGCGTCTACTGACATCCTGCTCTGTGGTGAACCGATTGTGATCTGCTTCCTCTGTTTGCCCCTCCACTGCTACACTCTTTTACGCACGATGCGAGGGAATTCATGTTGTCTTTGATCTTTCTTATTAGCCATGTGCCTCCCACCCACCACCCAGACAATTCAAATATTGCATAGCGTTCCTGAAATATTTGTCGCTCCCTGAATCCCAGAACCTTGGTTCTGACACTTACTCACATTCGCCTCCCAAGTGCTAGCAATAATGATCAAAAGATCGAATGCATTTAGCCTTTACTTTATTAATTTCTTCTTGCTTTTAATAAACACATACATTTTCGCCTGAGCTACATCCCCATCTCTTTCCGTTTTTCATCACTTTTTGCCACCTTCCCCCGGTAAAAAGTATTTCCTCACTATAAAAGCGGTTTATCTCGACAACTAGTTCACCAAACAATACCAAATTACAGCAGTAGACTTGCGTTTATCCATAGTTTATTGTATATTAATTTCAGTCTTGTTGAACAACTTGCCAGTTTCTTTGAATCTTAGTAATTTTTCACAAAATGACTACGCCAATCTCTCAAAGCCTACAAGGTTTTGACATCAGTCAGTTGCCCATGTTACTTGAGCACATTCAGCAGCAACTTGCCTCAGTTCAGGAGAAAGTACATGAACATGACCACCTCTTGGAGCGTATGAACAAGTTAGAAGAGGAAAACCAAGCCCTAAAAAAAAATCTTTTGGCCAAGGACCTGGTAATTCAAGAATTACAGGGCCAACTATCACGTGGAACTACTCAAGCCCCTACACCTGAGGTAGATCAGGAACGTCCGTTCATCTCTCAGGTCGTACAGTCCCAAGATCCTGCTACTACTGCTAGTACCACTACTGCTACCGATACTGCCACTAAAGGTAGTTATCTCTCTGCTGCTCGCTCTGGAGCTAAACGCCCTGATCCTGTTCGTACAGCCAAACGCCGTCTTGCTGCTGGCCGTCTCTTCCAATCTGCTGCTGTTAAGGGCCAACAGGGATACCAATATGTCTACCTTGGTAGATCTGGTAAGATCCAGCGCTCTGAGGTTCGTGCTACCCTCCGTAAGGTTGGTGTTGATACTGGTCGTGTTCTCGACATTTGTTTCCCTGCTTCTGGTGTTATTGGAGTTCTGGTCCATATCCAATATGTCGACACTTTTCTTGCTTACATGCACAAGTGCGAAGCTGAGCTCATCGAGAATTTTGAGCCTCTGGATCCCAAGCACATTGCTGATCCTCAATATGCAAACCTTGCTATTGCGGATCGAGAACAACTGATCTACGAGTTTACAAACACTCGTGCTCTGCAAACTCTTTCCTTCCTTCGTCCTCTCAATGTCAGTGGTGTTGGAAAATACTTTGTCTCTGCTGGATGGATTTCCCAAGAGGAACTTGATACAGCTGTTTCCGAAGCCATGGGCCGCCTTGCTGAAAAAGAACCCAAGAAGGCTCAATTCTTGCTCAAGCGTAGAAAAGCTTCTGACAGCAATGACTCTGCTATGGAACTCTAATGAGCTCTATAATACATCAGAGTCATATCAACAACAACCCCGTCCACTCCTTTCCTGTCTCTCTTTCCCTTTGGAATGCCAATGGTCTCCGTCAATCAGTTGTGCACGATGTCCTCTCACATGTATTGGATACGCATGTTCTCCTTGTCACTGAAACTTGGCTTCTATCTGGTTCTTTCCCTTCCGACTGGTCTCAATTCCATCTATATGGCACAAAAGTACCTGGCGCTTTTGGCCGTGGTTCTGGTGGTGTTACAGCCTTTGTCTCTCCTTCCTGTCCTTTCTCTGTCTCTCAACTCCCGTCTTACAATCCTCACACTCTGTCCCTTAAGGTTGGCACCCTTACGGTTCATTGTGTGTATCTGCCTCCACCCTTATCCTCGGATAAGGTGCTCTCGCTCCTTCGCTCGTTACCTATAACTAGTGATACAATCCTTTGTGGTGATTTCAATGCTCGCTTTGGATCTCTACTAGGTGATACTACTGCTAATCCCCGTGGTAACTCTCTACTACCATGGATTGAGGAGGCTTCGTTGTCGATCCTCAATGAGTCTCTAGCTTATGGTACACCCACCTTTACAACATTTCGGCGACAACAAGAGGTACACAGCATCATTGATCTGTTCCTTACCAACATTGGCGAGACGGCTATGTTGAATTCTCAACTGGTGGTTGACTCTGATCTGTCCCTTGGTTCTGATCATCGGCTGATGATACTTACTTTCGAGTATGTGCCCCCTCCCGATGATACTCTTGGTTCTGGTAACTCTGGTGGTTTGGCCCCTAGACGGCAATGGAAGCTCTCGAAATTGAGGAAAAAGCGGCCTTTGGGCTTGCTTCGTGAATCCTTTCGATCTTCTGTTGCTCCTTTGGTTGATTCTCTCTCTGGTTTGGTCTCTGCTCCTGATGGAGTTCGTCCTGATATTGATGCACTCAATGATTCTCTGAATTGTTGTTTGTATGAATCTCTTGACGGGTCAATTGGTGTGAAATCTGGTCGCCCTGGTCACTGGAAAAAGTACTGGACACAAGAAATTGAAGATGCAGCTCGTGAAAGAGATGCCTCATATAGTCGATGGCGATGGGCAAGTGGCTTTGCCAAAGTTGAAACATGGGGTATATATCAAACTGCTCTTAGACGTTTTCGCTCTCTGATACAGGCTGCCAAAAGAAAGTCGTGGAACACATTCTGCTCTAATCTGGAAAAGGATTTCTCTAAAGCTACTGCTGCTATCAAACGCATAAAGCGAAACAAAGAATCCTCTGCTACTTATAGCCATCCAGATGGTCCAGCTGCTTCAGTAACAGCAATGGCATCACATCTTGCATCTGTATACAATGGTACACTCCTTAACTCTGCTTCTCGTCCTGTTGCTCCTGAACCGAATGTATCGGATCTACCCTACAATGATCCCTCTGTTACAAATCTGTTTGATGCTGATACTATTGTCTCTCTGATTAAGCGATTGCCAAATGGAAAAGCTCCTGGTCCTGATCATCTGAAAGCTGAAATGCTGAAGGCTCTAGCATCTGACATTGCACCCGTATTGTCTCTGCTATTTACGCTTTGCTCTCAATGGTCGTACACTCCTGTATTGTGGCGTCATGCTCAGGTCTTTCCCATTTACAAGAAAGGTGATGTATCTGATCCTGCAAACTTTCGTCCAATTTCGCTCACTTCGGTGATGCGTAAATTGTTTGAATTTTCATTGATGCCTGCTCTTGATGAACATTCGCCTGCACTTGATGTTGCTCAAGGTGGTTTTCGTCCACAACGTAGTCCTCTGGATCAAGCCCTCTGTTTACATGACTTGATGCATGACTACTTCCTCACTCATCACCACTATCCTGTTGTAGCCTTTCTGGACATCAAATCTGCATACGATACAGTGGATCGCAACGTTATTTGGGATGCTCTTGCTCATTCTTCACTACCTCGTCCAATCCTTAGTTTATTGATCAATATGTTCGATGATGTACTAGTCTCTGTACTGATTGCAAACCACAACTCTGACCCTTTTTCGCCTGCTACTGGTGTACTCCAAGGTTCAGTGCTCAGTCCGCACTTGTACTCTCTGTACATCAACTCTCTGCCTGCTGTTCTTCGTGCTGCTGTCAACCGTGGTACTATGGTATCTCCACCCGGAATGCATCCTGTTCATATCAATAGTTACTCTTTGCTGATGATGTGGCCATATTTGGCTCTCGTACTGATGTGCAAACCATGTTGGATGTCGCTTCAGATCACTCGTTCTCTCTTGGCTACAGATGGAAACCATCAAAATGCGCTGTACTTTGTGCTCCTACTGCCTCTACTCGTCATCCATTGTCTCTATACGGTGAACCTCTTCCTGTGGTAGAGGAATTCACGTATCTTGGTATGCCGTTTAGATATAAAGGTCTGTATGCCCCTGGGATTCTCAATCTGCGTGCTTCTGGTGCTATCAAGACAATAGCATTATTGAATTCGGTTGGTGTCAATCGAAATGGTTTTTCTCTGTTGCTTTGTGCTCGTTTGTATAAAAGCTTTATTCGACCCAAGCTGGAATACGGCTTAGCTATATCTCATCTCTCTTTCCGTGACTTCAAGGCTCTTTGATGCTCTGCAAAATCGATTGGTTGGTATGTTTGTTGGTAGTACGTGGTACAATGTTGCCAAACATTTGACCTGTATTCCCAGCATGAAGCATCGATATAATGTCCTGGCAACACGTTATGCTCTTCGTGCTGATACTCTCCCTGATGATTGCTTGTTGGTTCTGCTTCGTCGTGGATTACTGTACACTCGTCTAGACAGATTTATTTGTCAAAACCCGTTGTATCTGACACTACCTGATCCGCCGCCATTCACCACTGCTGGTCTTACTGAAGTCTTTGATTCGTATTGGCAAGATCAAGTAGATCATCAACTTGCTGCTGCTGCTGTTTCTGGTACCCAGACCCTCCTCCGTGCTTGTCGTCGTTCTGTATCTCGTCCAGATCCCATTTTGTACCTACCAATTGGTCGATCTGCTCGAAGTCGCCTTGTTCGCTGGCGTCTTGGACGTTTCACAAACATGCGTGAAGAGTGTCCGTGCGTGATGGGTGATTTTATATCTCGAAATCACTTTCTGACATGCCGTGCTCTGGATCGAACACTTCTCGATGCTCTGCCTGTGGCTCCTCCTGGTATTCATCGTATAGACTATGCCCTTAATTGCTTACCTGTGAAAGCCTCTGATGGTCCTCCATCTTATTGGTCTGCTTTGCTTGCTCTGCTTCATGCCATTGATTGTTTAGTGCATCCGGCTGGCTGTCATCCCTGCTGATCTTGATTCAGGGTTGTTATGGTTCTCTGCTAGATAGTCTCTTCATTGATGAACGTTTGTTGTTTTGTTTTCTCGGTGCGATGCCACGGTGGTAAGTAATTATCAAAGTTCCCATCCGTTGGTCATTCCTCCAGATCAAATCAACAATACCAGTATTCATGCCGTTCCTTTGCCACTACCACACTTTCCTTTTTCCCTTTTTCTTAGTTAGTGTCCCCTTAAGGGTTTTTTGTACCTGCTACTCTTTTGTTTCTAGAATTCTAGGCTAATGCTCCCATCGAGTGCCCATTGAATTCATGTATATAATAAAAATCAACGTTAAACTGAGCTACATCCCCGATCCATGTTAAACTGGACCAAAATAATAAACATATCTAATGTACAAAATTTTGTACCCTACGCGCACCCATTTCCCTTTTTGGTATATTCTTTGCCTTTTTTAGTAACCAGTTGTGATTATATAAAAATTGAGCTTTCGTGAGCGACACATGATAATGTTAGAGCATTGTTTCATTATGAGCTTACCGATTCAAACAACAGTTTCATGTAACCTACATCATGAACGTGTTTCTGAAACAGTCTATCAAGCTGCTATATTTAAGCTTGTTATTTATTACAAGTT